CCTATAAAGCAAACAGTAACACACAGGAGAAACGTGCTTCCTTAGTTCAATCAAGTATCCGAGACCAAGTGGGCAGCACCTGTCCAAAAGCAAAGACAAGAAGGTAGAAGGGACAGGAAAAATAGATGAATGGACACAGAGAACCTGGGGTGGAAAGAGAAAGGGGGAGAGTGCTGACACATTGTGGACATTACAACCAATGTCACAAAACAATTTGTGTACAAATTTTTGAATGAGAAACTAATTTGTGCTGTAAACTTTCACCTAAAACACAATAAAATTAAAAAACAAAAACAAAAAAAAACCTGGGATGGGGGAAGAAGAGTTACAGAAAGAGGGCTAATAAGGAAAATCTAGAGTCAAAGTTGGCTAGGAGGAGGGACTTTTGGAGGACTTGAAGACAAGATAAAAAATATCATCAGTCACTTTTGAGTGGCACAAAAAGTTACAAGGATTGGCTGCTAACTGAAAGACTGGAGATGAGTCCACCCAGAGCTACCTGAGAAGAAAATCCTGGCAATCTACTTCCAAAAATTCAGCCATCAAAAACCCTATGGAGCACAGTTCTACTCTGACACACGCAGAGGTGCCATGAGTCAGAATCGACTTGGTGGAAACTGTTTTTCTCATGGAGGGAGATACTGAAAGGAAAGAAAGCTGGGGTGAGATTTTTTGAAGTCGTGTTTGGACAGGTGGGTGGGTGTACGTGTGTGTATGTGTTCATGTGTGTGTTAGGTCCCTGGGTGGCACAGTTTTATCTGCTGATCAAAAGGTTGGCAATTTGAATCCACACAGAGATTTGCTTCCATAAAGATTACAGCCAAGAAAACCGTATGGAGCAGTTCTACTCTGTAACACATGGGGCTGCCATGAGGCAGTATTGACTTGATGGCAACAGGATTTTTTTTTTGGGAGAGGGGGGTATGCGCTTTTAACTAAATCTTATTTTAGGTGCTTTACTAAAGTTTTAGCTAAAGGAAAGCTTTAAACTATTTTAAAAGCTTGTGTTGTTTTTTGAAGCCAGACAGACATTAAAAGACTGATTTAGAAGGGACCAAAAAGTGACTCGGGCTCATCTGGGTTTCAAGTTTCATGTCTTCAAATTTACTTAAATGTGGATATACACTTGATTTTGGGTATGTTGTTGTTCTATACCCTAAATATCTCACTCATGTTTTTGTTTTCATGTTAATAAATCTGCAATTATGTCATCGTTTGTTGGCCATTCATTCATTCATTCAACAAAGAGTGAATGAAAAAAACAGGATCCCTACTCTTATGAAACTTTAAATCTGCTAGGAATAAAACCGTTGAACAAATCATTATCAGTGTAATGAATGTCTTCCCATAAGCATCATTCAGACTTTGCCAGATATCATGGCATGTGGATTCTTCCACCAATATCCGGCTTTAATACAGTAGCAAACTAATACTGGTTTCCCAAAGTGTGAGAATAAGATTCTATGTGATGTTGATTCTGCCAGTCAGATTAGGAGAGGCCATAGAACCCTCATAATGTACCTCAAACCACTTATCTATGCTTGAGTGTGCTCCATTTTGTCCTCTTGCCTCATGGCTTTTGTAAGGGTAGCAATTTATTTTATTTGAGATTTTCACTTTTTTGTTTTGTTTTCATGGTTTCAAACAGGATAGAAACTTTGGGGAATGAAAATGGAATACATAAATGACAAATTACTAAAATGCCATAAAAAACTAAGGACTGGTGTATCTGTGGGACCGTAAATAGCAAACCTTCTCCCTCCCTGGATTCTGGAGAATATTGAGAAATAATTAACAACCCTAGCATTGTTAGAGTCAAGTTGGAAAATGTAACTTGGTAGGAGAAGAAAGTGAGCCCATAGACTGAAACCCATAATTAGGCATCTCTTCAAGCAATACTTGAAGGGCAGGCTTTCCTATTTCTTTTACACTAAGGAGTAATTTGGGATCTTGGCAACATGGTGCAGTAGCAAAACTATGACAGTAGACGTTAAGAGACCTCGGGTGTATGTCTGACTTTACCGTAACTACATGTGTTACATAGGGCAGGAAATGTATTGCTGTATCTTAGCGTCACCATCTGTACAATGGGTAGTGGAACAGAATAATGGATATGATAGTAAGGGAACTATACACAAACATGGCCTGTGTCTTTCACTAGTTATTTATTGAATATTCTCTGTGTATCATGAACTGTGCTAGGCTCTGAAGAGAGATAATGCTTCCTGGGACATTTACCGCAGCTGTGTGGTAGAGGGATTTAGAATAGGGGCCTTGGAGTGAGCTGGAGCTGTGTTTAAGGCCTGCATTTTTGCTTAATGTGTGACCTTGGGCCCATTATTTAAAGTCTCTAATCCTCAAAGTTCTCTTCTACAAAATGGAAGCACAGCCTTATGGGTGGTGTTAGTTAATACTAACTTGTATTAGTTAAGAAGGCCTGGTGGCACAGTGGTTAAGAGCTCAGCTGCTAATCAAAAGGTCAGCAGTTCAAATCCACCAGTTGCTCCTTGGAAACTCTATGGGGAAGTTCTACTCTGTCCTGCAGGGTCACTATGAGTCAGAATCAACTCAATGGCAACAGGTTTTGTTTTATATTAGTTAATACTATTCTTAGCAACATAAGGGAAATAAAATTTTTACAGGCGGAAAAGGGGGACAATTACCTTTCAAGTGAAGCAAAAAAAAAAAAAAAATTAAAGAATGGAATGAAGGGTGATTTGGCACAGAGAGGAACTATTGAAGGGTACTTCTTGGACTACTACAGATCCTCACTATCTCCAACCGGGCAAAATTAGATGCTGATTACAGGAACAAAAACTCCGTCTCCAGCTGCTTGCTATGCCCCTTGGATTCCTTACTCAGGAGTAAGACACTGAGAATAATGTTAGATGTAGAGCTCTTTATGGGATAACAGGGGTTACCTAGACACACAAACAGAAAATCTTATCAGGCAGACACAATACAATGCTTTCAGAGAAAGCATCTTCACTTTTCACTTATTTGTTTGAAGTGGAAAAAATAGGATGATCCCTGGTGGCACACTCGTTAAGAGCTTAGACTGCTAACCAAAAAGTTGGCAGTTTGAATCCATCAGCCACTCCTTGGAAACCTTATAGGGCAGTTCTATTCTGTCCTATAGGGTTGATGTGAGTCTGAATCGACTCGATGGCATTTTTTTTTTTTTTTTAATCTTAAGGGACAATATGCTTCGAAAATCCATTGCTAAACACATAATTTATTCCAGAACAGTAAGCACTACATTGTGGAACACGCTTTTCAGGGATCTTTTTACTTCCTTGTTCCTTAAGGAATAGATTAATGAGTTCAGCATGGGTGAGACAAGATTATTTAATATTTGCACCACAGCACAAAGAAAGGGTTTGGGTGCGGGCTGCAGATAGATGATGATTACAGGCCCATAGGCACAGAGTATTGCAGTGAGGTGGGCACTGCAGGTGGAGAAAGCTTTCTGCCTGCCTTCTGCTGCCAATGCGATCGTAGGAGACACAAATACTGAGCAAAAGCATTAAAGCCAGAAGGCCAACATTAGTGAAACTCACCCTCTGGGCCAGGAAGTTGTCAGCACAAGCCAGGAGTAAGACAGCAAGAATGTCACAGAAGAAGTAGTCTACCTGATTGGGACCACAGTAGGTTAACTGAAAGGTAAAGGAGGTCAATATGGTGGCATCAAGACAACCCACCAACCAGGCGCCCATGACCAAACTCACACAGACCCTAAGTTTCATGATAAGCATATACCTCAGTGGGTGACAGATGGCACAAAGCGATCACAAGCCATAACAGAGTAGAGGAAGCCTTCAGTACAACCCAGCAAATGATAAAAGAAGAGCTGTGCAGCACGCCCATTATAAGAGACGGCTTGGCTCTGACCAGAGAGATAGAAAAGCATCTTGGGACAAGTTACAGAAGGGAAAAATACGTCAAAAATAGATAGGAGTCCCAAGAAGAAATACATGGGAAAGTGAAGTGTAGAGGAAGAAATGATGGTTATCAGGATGAGTAAATTGCCAAGCAAGGTGAAGAAGTAGATGAACAAGAAGATGACAAAGAGCACAGTCTCCAGTCCCTTGGTCTGAGGTATTCCCAGCAGAATGAACTCGCTCGGTTCTGTGTGATTCCTTATGTCCTTGGAAGGGTAGTCTGGGTAGAGACAGAAAACGTGAAAACATGAATGTGGACTGTGATGGACACAACACAAATACATTCATTCTTACCAGTCTTTTTTTAAACATAGAGATGATTCTGAAATTAAGAATTAGACATTCTGCCAAAGACACTTTAGAGCTAGTGGAGCTAATCTTCATACCTTGAGATATCATATTCCTTCAGGAAATTTTACTGGATACAAAGCAACAAAACATTAACATATGAAAAAATACTAGATGGGCTAAGAGAACAAAAATGTTAATAATAAACAAGTGTATATGATTTATATTAATGACAACGATGAATATCCTAAAATAAACTAACCTGAAAGAGCCTGATTCATCTGCTTCCTTTTAAAGAACTTTCCTACAGTGTCTCAAGGATGGGGTCAAATACTGTAAACATTCATCAAAGGGCAATTTGGGCACCCACACCTCTGATGAAAAAAAATTACGATACAGCACAATGAGCATGAAGACTTAGGTTGTTGTGTTGATATTATTTGAAGTGAATATATTCTTAGATTAAACATCTCTTACTTGATGATGTTCATTTGACTGAAGAATGTCAAATTTGGTTATTATTATGGGGTTTTAAATTATTTAAAGGTCAGCAGCTAAATGGTATTATGTAGATTGTAGGTTTTAGTGAAGTTACCTTCATATGTAAAGATGCAGAGACAAGATATTTAGTTCTTGCTAACCACTGGAATTTTCCAATCCTTAGTGCAATAAAATGAAAATATGTATGTCCTGCCACTTTGCCTGTGTGTTTTTTTCTGCTTTTGTAAAAAATAGATCACTGAATATTCTGAGACTGTGAAGCTGCCAGAGGGGTGTGCTGTGGTCAGCTCTATGTCACAATGTTGGAGTTCAAGGGCTCTTGTGAATCTTCCATCTGTAAGAGTTGATATTTTCATTTTAAGTTTTTATTTTCAAGATCTTTCATTTTTGAGATTCAAAGTACATGAAAATCATCTAATTATAATTGCCCTGCCTTCTAATTGCAATTCCTAGTGAATTTTTCTGATCTTCTTTCATAATTCACAGTGTTACTGACTGGCAATTTCATCTACTAAAAAAGCATGGACATGGTAAGATAGGTTAATTCTACCCAGATACACACAGAAAATTCTGGTGGAATTGAGTTCAGGTTCTATTAGACTGTAAGGTCCCTGAGAGCAAAGACTGTATAATTTGTCACTGAATCTGCAGCATTTGTTCTAGTACCTGTGAATGGTAGGCATTTATATATTTGTTGAATAAATAAATGAATGAGAAGTTGAAAATTAGTTTATAAATAGACTTGATCTGTAAGTTCCATGAAGAAAACATGGCTATAGTTCACCACTATGTATCTGGGACTTTGGAAATAGTAATACCTATAAATATGTTTAATAGAATAGAATTTTTAAATGCTCTGAAATTTTTCCTTTTGTCCTTAAGACTGTTTTAAGCAGTTTGATTAACCCCTGAAAGCAATGGTTATAGTAAGCCTGCTTTTGACTCCAGACTGCACACCTAAAGAAAAGAATTTAGATAGTCATTGAAATGTAGAGTAGCTAATTCCTGATTGAGGGAAGATAAGATGAGCCTTGAATATCTTCATAATTGTTCATACTGCTAATTGCCTCTTACTGGGGAAAAAAATAAATGGGAGGTGGTGGTAGAGGGTTAGGGGAAGAGATTGGACTTCCCTGAGGAGAAGGGAAACGAGAAAGTCATGACTAGTGGAAAGTTCTGTGTCAAAAAGAAAAGGAGAGAAAAGGAATTAGTGGCAAAACACCTGAAATAAGGCAAAAATTGTTAACATAACCAGAGGTACTAGATTTAGATAGTGCATCTTACTTCATGTGGTAATAAGACCTAAAAGAAGGTTATCACACTGTCTCAATGCAGTTCATTTCCTTTGCGATTATTGTTTTTGCAATATTAAGTCTATAAAGATTCTTTTTATTGTACTGGGTCCTTCAGGTCTTTGGGTCCTTTAGGCCTTCTTCTTGGAGCAAAGGCAACTACTTTTTTTTCAATTTACCTTTTTTATGCTTTCAGTGGGGACCATCTAGACCTGAAATCTCTGGAGCCAGTTCGTATCACTGCGTAAGTTATTGATGAAAGAGCTTATGGCTAGTGGGTGGCCCCCATATACAGGATGAGTGGTGCCTTAATGCAGGCATCCAGTGCATTTCTGAACAGTTTCCATCAGGTTCAATGATCAGAGAGGACTAAAAGAATGACTGCTAAGAAGATATTTTGGCATATTTCCAGAAAAAGAAGAATATAGCAGAGAAAAAAGTAGAATTTAATATGTGACTTTGAAACTACAAAAATATAAATGTAATTAATATAAACTATGAAAGTTTCAAACAATGAAAATGTAAATACATAGAAAAACAAAAGCAAGATGTTGAAAACCAAAATCAAGTGGTGGGAAGATATTCCTGCAATGCAAATTTGGAAAAAACAGAGAATTTTATTGCTATCTGTCTGGAAAAGGGAGTAAGATGAGTGAATGGTGATAAGAAAAGCAAGATTTTTCAGCCAGACAGATTTGATTTTAAATCCAGGCTCTTTTACTTACTAATTTTGTGACTGGCTAAGTCACTTTACCTTGCTGTGCATCAGTTAACTTATCTACAAAATTGAGATGGTATTACCCTCTGAGAGTTGTCTGATGGTTTAAATGGGATGAGGCAGTAGGTAGAAACTAATATAGTGCCTGATATATAGGGCGTGCTCATCAACTGCTATTTACTCCTTTAATTTAGGCAAGAGTAAAAACACTCTTGCAATATATTGACAATATTGGCATGAACATAGCTAATCCTAAATAATTCACAATTTGGGGGCGGTGTCTAGCACCTACCCCTGGATACCTATGTAGGTTTCCCCTGAATTATATTGAGGTATGTTGTAGCAGAAAAACATCACAAAGTTTACTAAAGCAAAAAGAAAGTTTTATTCGGCATATATTCAAGAAGTGCAGAAGCGGGAAGCAGACAAACATGCTGCCAGAGCTAGAATGTCTGCCAGAAT